GGTCAGGACTGGGGATCAAAAGGAGAGGTCTACATACGTAGTGTAACTTTGGTGCTAAAACCTACCTTATACTAATTATTATATCTCCATGACATAAGTTCATTTCGCGTAACTAACATGCCTTAAAACTAGACTTCATTTATTATATACTTATACGAATGATAAACTCTTTTATAAACAACGTAATAGTAAGAGCCCATTCAGTAGAACGGAAGAGAAGATGAGTTCTAGACGTTCGATTCTCTTAGCATAAATTAATTCTGAACCTAAGATTGTGCCTTTAATTTTTTTATGCAATTATTAATTAATTTTAAAATTTTATTTCTTGAAATTAACCGTTTTAAAATCCTTCTTTATTGGGGTAAAAAAAAAAGGTGGCGACTCTAATTTATTCATTAAAAGTCTTATCAAACACCTAAGTGGAACCTCTATAGACCAACTTATTGTCTACTAAAAAACCTGGTACCATAGAGACTCATCCCTCAACATCAACCAGATTTCCAAGAGATGGAAGGTGATGAGTGAAAGTCTAGTTCCATATCAAACCTACTTAGAGACTCTCACTGATCAACTCGATAAGGTAGATTATACATATTTACCAAAAAAGAGAACCAATTCGCTGATGCCTTAGCAAGACTAGCCTCAATGGTTAGAATTCCTAAGGAAACTAAAAAATGCCCTTAACCATAGAGAAAAAGCATAAACCCGCCTATGTCCAAGCTCTTGACGATGAAGTGGAAGTCCAAGAGGACGAAGGACAACCATGGTACATAGACATTCTCAACTATGTCACTAAAGAGGAATGTCCACCTAATACTGACAAAAGAGCGAAACGTGCTTTGAGACTCTTAGCTTTACAGTACGTACTTATCAATGATGAGCTCTATAAGAGTACCTAAAGGAAGAGCCCTTCTATGCATAGACAAAAGGAAGCACAAAGGGTAATGAGGAAAATCCACGAAGGAGCATGTGGAACACATCTGAATGTCAAAATGCTAGTTCAAAAAGTCATACGCCAAAGCTATTATTGAACTACGATGAAAAAGGATTGCCATCAATATGTAAAAAGGTGTACAAAGTCCCAAATATAGGCCACTTTGCAACATGTTCCACCTTCCCTCTTTTACACTTACACATCTCCATGGCCGTTCTCAACTTGGAGAATAGATATCATTAGAAAAATCTCTCCACCTAGATTAGGGGGCCATGAATTCATCTGTGTCGCCATAGATTATTTCACCAAGTGGGTTGAAGCAGCATCGTATGCAAAACTCACCGCAAAACATGTGTCACTCTTCTTAAAAAGGAATATCATATGTCGATATGGGGTCCCACATGAAATGATAAGTGACAATGGTACTCGCTTTCAAGCTAAGTGTGAAGACTTACTCAAAAAGTATGGTATTCAACATCATCACTCTTCTCCATATAGACCTCAAGCAAATGGTGTAGTGGAAGCAGCCAACAAAAATTTTAAAACAATCATTGAAAAGATGACTGAAAATTACAAGCTACCAAATTACACTTTGCTCTTTGGGGTTATTACACGTCTATCCGTACATCCACAGGAACTACGTCGTTCTCTCTGGTCTATGGAATGGACGCAGTACAACCTGTAGAGCTAGAAATACCTTGCGCATAGAATTGGAAAGTAAACTCGATGAGGTCTAATGGACAAGAGCAGGATATGAAGAGCTAATCCAACTCAATGAAAAGCAATTGGAAGCCTTACATCATGTCCAATGCTATCAAAACCGCATGGCTAGACACTTCAACAAAAAGGTCTAGACAAGAAACATTTAATAAAGAGACTTGGTGTTGAGGGCCCTTAGAAATAATGTACCATATCTAAGAAGGAGGTTTAAACCTAATTGTTCTGGTCCATACATTGTGAAGGCCATCCTGTCTAGGAGTGCAGCTAAATTAACAGATATGTATGACAATGAGTTCTCCAATATGACAAACCTTGACTAGCTAAAGAAGTTCTACACAAGATTTGACGGGCTCCATGCCCAAGAGAACTACGTTTGGCCAGATTCCTTAATACTAAGGATACGTAAGTAACCTTTCCGGTGCGGCCACATTAAATATTTAAATCATGTCTCTGGAAGTATCAAATGGCATAAGTAAGATGAAAAATTGGAACTAGAAAACAATTTTTCCAATGTCACGCCGCCACAAATAAATCGCGTCGCGACAGATCCATCGTGCCACAACAGAGGCGTCGCGCAACGATGATTGTCGCTTTGCGATGGATGTAGTGCCTAACAACAGACATGCATCTTCGAGACAGCGTTCGAGATTCGTGCCGATTAATTCCGAACAGTCACTAGTAGAAAAAACACCAAATGCTCCGGTTAAAATAACCATATATGCTACGATTTTAATCCGCATCACTAGTGGACATAGCAGATTACAAGTTAAAAAGGCTTCGATTTAAAACCAGAGCCTAAAGTGACTTTAAGCTCCGGTTCAAATTTTAAATTGGAGCATAAAACCTCTTTATGTTCTGGTTAAGGGCTAAAAACCAGAGCATTAAGTGGTTATTTGCTCTGGTTTTTTGTCTTAATCGGAGCATATAGTGGTGCAAAAAAAAAAACTTGCATTTTGGTTTACAAAAATCAATGTTAAAACTGATATATATATATATAGTACTTTTATATATACTAGTTGTGGTTTCGCGCGCGTAGCGCGCGGCACCCCAATGGTGGTGAATATGCTTAGACAATAGTTCTTTCGGTTTTTTTGGTTTTATGGCAATTAAGTTTTTGTAGACTGTACAAAGTGAAATTAGTTGTTTACAATATATTTTAAGTAAATAATTATTTTAAATAAATTTACTAATCTTTCATCTCGGTGCATATGGGGTTGTTGTTGAGTTATAGCTGAATTTGTAGACTGCTAATAGCCTCGTTTAACATGTTGATTCTGTGTGATATGTAGCCGAAATAATATACTGGTGCACCGTTTCTGTAACAAATTATTTGCCTAAGTACTTAGACAGTTGCTTTAGATGCTATTAAATAGTAAGAGTATTGGTAATAAGGTTTGTTATTATCTTCAACAACAGACATGAAGACTTACGTTTCTTCACAATTTTGAGTAGGCACTTCAAAATAGTTCATGAATGGGTGGTCGTGTGTTGACTGTATTATTTTACGGAGTTCTTGCATTGTTAACACAAGTTAGTCAATTGTTACTCATCTTAGCTTTTATTTTCTTTCCTTTTTTACGGAGTTCTTGCATTGTTTTATTTAAAAGTTATTATTGAAAATTATACTCGAATATTAATTGTATTTGAATTTGAGTATTAAAATTGTTGTTATTAATCAAATAGAATAAATTTATTTAATTCATAATATTTCGAGGATTAATATAGGATTCAACCGTTATAGTCAACATGGGTTGAAGAATATTATGAAACTTTAGTTCAATTCATATTTAGTCTAATGATTGGTCAGCCACATGTATATATAATTAAAATACTTTGACAATATAGTATATGGTTATTCTTAGTGGAATTTGATTGTATATAAATAAAGTTTTTTCTTAATCATAACATATTCAATATATTTTCTGTATCATAGAGATGTATAACAACTTACCAAGTCATGTTGTTATGTTCGGAGATGCATGTAGAAATAAGTTGGTAGTTTTTTTTTCGTTTTATATTTTATATATTATTTATAATATGGTTTTTTCTGTTTATAAATAATTATGCGGATCTTGTAGGTATTTCCGGAGGATTGGACTGCCTTGTTAGCCGGAGTCCATAGTCCTGTGGAAGTTCTTCAAGGCCCTAACAGTCGTATATGGCATGTGGAGCTAGTGAAGGTTGTTAAAGATACCAAAAGCAATATGTGTTTTGATATTAGCTGGGAAAATTTTGTTAATGAAAATTACTTGGTTGATGGTGAATTAATGATTATTTATTTTGCTGGTAATATAAATTTTATGTCAGGGTGTTTTCTTCGACTATGGTTGAAAGATTTGCTACTATTGAACCTCTTCAAAAAGATGAGGATATATAAATTCATGTAATTATATATTTAAACTTTATAAATGAAATATTATTGTGGCACGTTATTCTCCTCTATTTACAACCTTTTGTTGCATGGTCACAATATTTAGGTTCGTTGTTTGTTTATTTTAAAATGTTCATTATTCTGTTAACTCCAAACCTTAGACTTTGTAATGGATGAAGTCAAAATAAGGGTAAATAGTTGTTAAAAAGTTGTGAAGAGAGAGATTAAAAGGGATTATCATCAATTGGTTGATCTAATTGGTCAATTTTAACTGTTGGAAGTAATATAATCATATATTTTAAAATAATTGCAAGAAGTTTTGAGGTTTTATTTTTTAATTCCACTTAAAAGTAAACCACAGTTGCCAACGTCGAAGCGTCGAACTTCATAACCGAAACTGATGTCGTCAATGTTCAGGTTTAGTAAGTAATTTAATTGAAGCGCGAGTTTCAAGACATATGTGTTGGCCGAAAGTAACGTTGTATTATCGAATGGTATAACGTCGTATGAGAAGTTGTGATTTGGAATGAGGAGATGTAAATATAAATAAATAAATAAATAAAACAATCTTTAATTACAATAACAAGGCATAAACATAAATTAAAACAGAAAGAAAACGATCTTTAATTACATATATATAAAGTCAAATATTATTTTCTTAAATATAGAATTCACAGTACAGTTATCGCCGAAATATATACTTTAAATTTTATTATAACCATACAATTTTATCCAATGCAATTTAATAAAATTTACAATAAAAATATTTTATGAGTGCTTATAAATTATTTGTCTTTTATATTTCAACACCACCGATTCGAGTTTCTCCCTTTCCTTCTGCTTATCTTCTTTGAGCCTATTAATTTGTGCTATACCATCGGCTATAACAGGCTTTAACTGATTTAGAAATGTAATAAAATTGACTACCACGGTTGGTGCTTCGCCAATTACATTTTGTGAACCTTCACCAGCGTCCTACAATATCCTATCAACCTCAGCCTGTCTACGTAGAACTTCTCTCTGCATTTCCATAGCGTTTAATTTCAAAACCTCCAAAATACGTTTATGTATTCGACAGAATCTTTTGTATTTTTCAATTGCTAACTCAACATCTTCCTCAATCTCCATTGGTGTATAATGTATATATAAAAATATTCCTACAATGTATAGCAAAACATAAGTTTAAGCATTATTATGAACCCTACCTTTCTTTTCTTAAACTCTAAGTTGACACATTTGTACGCAAATTACAATCGCGTACAAAAACCAAATCATATGTCATGTAATCTTTATCTATAAACCTTACATAAAACTCCATTTATACTATATATTTATAATTGGTGAAACGTTGTAGGGAAATTGAAAAAAATTGGAATTAAGATATGAATACAAAAATAAACAAATTAACATAAGTAGAAGATAAATTATTCAAATTCAACCCTACTGGCCCCTAAAAAATATAAAATAAAAACAAAGAACGGAACATAGGTAGAGGAAACTTGATCACCACAAACGAAACAAAGACAACTATAATGATAGTATAGAAAACTCAGTGAAACAAAGATTGCAATTTAGATTCGACGGAAGCAGTGAAGATGAAATAGATATCTCAAGAAGTTGCTACGACGAAAGAAACGCACAAAATCCGAAATAAATGATGAAAAGGTTTGAATAGAAAGAGGAAAGGTCAGGACAGAATAAAAAAGGAACGCATGGAAGAGCTACATATATATAAGTAGAATATTAAAGGAGTGTAATTAAATGAAAATAGTAAGGGTAGTGAATAGGTATGATGATGGAGTGAAGAGGCGTGATTCACACAATAATAATTCAATAAATATAGGAAATAAGTTTTACTACTTCATTTTTTTGTGTTTTTTTTTAATACTTGTATTAATTTATTTTTATATTTTTTTGTAATCCCAATGTGAATCTCTATTTTTAATTTTTTTTTTCCTGATTTACGATGTAGTGTTCTTAGTTTCTTTTTTCGGTGATGGATGAATTAATATTTATTACGTATATTTGTTCATTTATATTAAATGGGTGCACAGAGTGAAAGGAGTAAACATTGGTTTAAGTAATGGACAAATTAATTATTGAAGAGGAGTGAGAATGCTGAAAGTCGAATGAGATGTTACGATTTGACAATTGAATGTATGTGGGCAATAAGTGTTATTATAATATATAAATATGCATAAGTTTGGTAAGAGGGATGCGGGAAAGTATTTTAGAAACTGCAATGGTTAAATATATGTATAGTAAGTTAGACGAAATATTTAAACAATATTATAATTGTAGTCGAATGAACATAATGTAGTATTAGGACAATTTGAAATAGTTACCGAGAACGTTGATGAAGATTTTAGAAAGCTTATTCTTAATAATATTTATACTTTAGGATTATCATTTATTACGATGAAGGTACGTTAATAAACTTGAATATTCATTTGTGCAATATTGAAAGTAATTTTGTAAAAGAAGTGTTCTCGTTGTAGGACATTTCTTTGGCTACTATGACGTTGTTAGTTTGTAAGTATGAATCCTGATTAAAAGATCCATAATTTCGATTGCTAATGACCGGTAAATTATGAATAATTATTTTCTTATAAAATGTATGGAAGATGAAATTGTAGATTATGAAATAATAGATGAAAGCACTTTAGAATGAATAAGTACGTTGTATATTGGCGAATTAAATCAGATATATGTTTCGGCCGTTCATTTTGTTGAATAGACAGTACTACATCACGTAAGCATAATATTTTATGTTTCGGCACTTGCCGATCTCACAATGATCCTTTTTTATTATAATTTGTTGTTTATTTTAATATTATCTGAATAAAAGTTATTTTGTTATTGGGTGATCGTGTTTTTGTTTTTGTAAAATAAGTTGTCTACAATATATTTAAACTAAATAATCTTGATACGTAGAGCTGTTAAGTTATGATAATAATTTTACCGAAGTTGTGTATTATTGATAACTTTGGCTTTTTATATTGAAATTGTGGTGATTAAAGTTGAAATAATATATCGCTTCTTTATTAATTTTTTTCTTATACTTTTGTTATTTTTTATTTTTTTACAAAAAATTCAGTGTAAGTTTCTATTTTTAGTGATTTTATTTTTTGTTATTATTGATTTTTTTTAATGTCTGGTAAATGAAGAACGAATAATTGTTATTTCGGGGATGGATGGAATAATAAGTATCAGCGAAAGTATTTGGAACAAAAGCAAGAACGAAGACCGTAATATTTAATGAATATACATTGAAAATATTTTAAATAAAAGCAGGAACAAAGATCGTAATATTTAAAGTATATACATTTAGATATTAATATAATAATTGCTAAACAAAAGGTTAAAGATTAAATTTACTTCGTATTCATTCTCGAGCTTGTTTAAGGATCCATTATTTACTTTGTAAAAACAAGTGTAATGCTCAAGAATGGTGATGGTGTTAGTATAACCGGAAACTGTTGAATGCGTCTTTCGGAGAATGTCGGGCAACACAAAGTAATAGTTTTCTCCTCTATTCTCATGGACAATGTTGGTATTAGTATAGCCGAAAGCTCTCGTCGTATTCTTCTCTCGGATATTTTTGGACAGCATAAATTAATGGTCAATTTCTCCAAGTTTGTTGCAGCTTTTAATATACACGTTACAATATGTACTTGACACACGTTGTCCTAGAAGATTGTTACATGCTTGAGATTTGATAAACAACCTTCTTCGGCTATACAATTTAAAGAGGTATCAATCCACTCAACCTGTAAAACAAATACCAAGTATATTGACACAATTAGATTCAAATTCATTTCATTCTGGTTACGAAAGGAAAATAAATAACGACAACATTCTTATGTACTTACCTCCTTGAATATTAATGATTTCAAGTTGGGAGTTTTTCTTAGTAACTCGTAGGTGCAACTTTCGGCTTTCACCTCCAAATGAGTCAGGTTTCCGAAAGTCGGTAGTTGTCTTCCATTAAGAAAAAGCTACGTCCAATTTAGATGAATATTATTAATTCAAAACAACGTAACGTATTATATCAATATGTCGCCATTATATGTTTAATAGAAATATTGTAGAAATATATACTTACCCCAGAAGTCTTGAGTCTCAAAGATCTGACTTTGGAAGCCTTGCTTATAAGATAATTGATATTTTGATAAATATAATAATCACCTCCATGTTCATTGACCATAACTGGGAAATTTTCCCTAAGATTTAGATTTTCCTTGGTAAGCAAAGCTAAACTATCAACCATATAATATGTTATTTCATCATCAATACTAATGTACTCAAGAATCGGTGCTTTAATACTAATAATCAGAGATCTGCCCCAAGCCTGGCTCACGATATCACTAATTTCTAATGATTTAAGTGCCAGGGACTCTACAAACAGCATCTCGGCAAAACCAGTGCACTCCTTGATAATAATTGTTTTGAGTGCTGCACAATTTGATGTGAACCTTTTCATATATTCGCTACCGTTAAATTCGACTTTGACAAAGTGGACAATTTCAAGGGATGGTAGATGAAAAGACTCTGGTGTATCATTCATTTTCACACCCGTTAGTTTCAATATCTTCACTCCCATTCCATACATCATTTCTATAAATTTGTAACTTCGACTTCCACCTAAAGTGAAATTCAAATCAATTTCATAACATTCACGTTTTTTTGCAGCATTTAACCATGATTCGTAGTAATCACAATCATCATCACAGGAAAATTCATAACAAAAACGCTGCAAATAGAATGCGTTGTTCTCAGCTAATACCTTGTTGACAAATTTATTGTAGGAAATTTTTGCACCGTTGCACAATGGATGACAACCATCCGGTATCTCCGTGAAATCAAGTACGGGTACTTGATTCCACACTTTCTTCCATCTTTTTGACAATACACAGGTCTTTACAGCAGACTTTGTTGGTAGAAAAGAAAGTATATGACACAATGTTGTATCATGTAAACTACTAATGTAATCTGTTTCTCCTACGGGATAACTGATGTCACTCATACTTTGAATTATAATTGTAAGAGGTTTAAATGGAAAGATGATAGTGATGAATGTTTTCGACAGATAAGGGAAGTTTCTATAAATGGAGTATTTGACGGTTGTGTTGTTATAAATAAAGGAAGGAGAAAAAAAGGAGCATAATAATTTGTTTTAAAAACTTTCCAGTTACCAAAACATTTATCTAATAGATATGTATTGGAAACTGTTAAGCGTAATAATGGAATGTAATTGGATATAAAATTTGGATGTTAGAGTGAATCTAATTATGATGAAAAGGTTTAAATTGTTTTAGAACCGAGTTTTAGATTTCCTATGTATTGTTATGTCGATTGAAGTATAACTTGTTAATTAATTCCTCTTTATTGTTAAAAAATAAGTACGGACTTTTTTCAAAGGATTTTACATTTATGAAAAATAATTAACATTTCTACTAAATCATTACAATTATGGTTTTCCGCAGAATAACTACACATTTAAATTTCCTTCTTATTGATTTGTTAGCCGAAACTTACGTTGGTTAAATAGTATTATAATATGTTATCGTAAGACTAAACTACGCTTCCTTAGTATTAGTTACATCTAGAAATATTGTTTCACCGTTAGCCGTTAGAGGATAGCCGAAAGAATTTCACAACTATAATTTTGATATTGACATATAAGTTCTGATTGCCGGTACTGTTTTACGTATAAAGTCAAGTAGAACCATTGTACATATAAAGTGAAGAGAGTTTCATAAGTGTGTTTACTTATTTATGAAAATCCATCCTTTAGGTCTTTAAAGATAGAGGAGTAGAATTGCGTACTGCACCAATTATCTTGTGGCTTTTTTTCAGTGTTTTATTCGTTGGTTTGCGCCTCAGTTAATATTCTTGATTTGGATCAGTATTTGTTTTTCCCTTTGGTTCCTTTATTGACTGTAGCATCGCTTCAATTAGTTTCCAAAACCCCGGTACTATTTAATTTGTTCAGAAGCTGAGGTATTGTATTACATGCTACATAATTTAGCGATGTTTATGTTTATCCGTTATTGAACTACATACTTTCATATGTCATCCATATCAGTTGTTTTAATTTATAATTATTCATTCTGTACTCCCGTTTATTGTATGCGCCGAAGTACTTGCACAGTTAATATAGATTATGTAAAGTTACATTGAAGTTATAAAAAAAAATGAAAGGAATAGAGTAATGACCTTGGAAGAAGTACTTGCTTTTCTTACAGTGATCTTTTTTTGTAACGACCTATGTTAATATAAATATTTCGGAAATCGTAGAGAATATAATGTATGTGAAATAAAAAGTAGGGTGCGCTATGGAGTTGGGAATGAGATGAATGATCGTTGTTGATAACAAACTCTTGCATTTGGAACTTCTAAATAAAGTATAAATTTTTATATTCGAGCATCATGTTTGTTTGACTAATATTATATATAAAAATATAAGTATCCTTGTAAATCAAAACTGTAACAGTCATAATCTAAGACGTAGCAGCATTAGTCAAAAAGATCAATTGTAATATTATACCAACAATCAAAATAACAACATATGAAGTATCAGTAGTAGATAAAACAAAATGTATAGAAAACGCGAATCTGAGAATATATTAATACCCAAATATCAGCCTCATTCGTTTCGGCAAATTTAAAAGTGAAGGTTTCCGAAAGTATGTCAGTATTGGCCGAAAAGAAGATGCACCCCGTATATAAACCCGTGCACTATCAAACACGGTGGCTGACGGAAAAAAAAGCCGCCGTATAATAGTAACAGTATTATATTTTGATAGACTAAGTGCTTAGATATCTAGAAATAGTATAATTATACATCAAATTTTCAATCTGTAAGTATCTATAATTATAAAGGTTGTAATCAATATTTGATTAATTAAATCATTAGAGATTGAAATGTTGAGTTGTAGATGATGAATTAAGTGGAGATAACATATAGAAAACATCTGCTTATAATAGAGAACGGAGTAATTAGGTTAAGGACAGTGGATAAGTGTGATGATGTAACGAAGAAGTGTGATTTTCACAATTCAACGAATATAGATAATGTATTATATATTTATTATTAACTTTTTATATATTCAAAATTCAAAATAAACATCACAGTATGTTTTTTGTTTTTTCCTTGTGATCTACATCCGACTTATCTATAACGTTCTCTAAAAACATTTGCTATTGTATATGTTCTTAGAGCACTTTCTGAAAATATCCGTTCTCCAGTATTATTACATAGCTGGAGTTAAACATATTTACAATCATTAATTATTTGAAAGTCATTGAGCATAATAACTAATTCGAAAGACAACTGACAAAATAAAGGAAATTTGTGAGTGACGATTGGATTATACCCTGAACTTTGATTATATCATTCTTCTGTATTCTTTTCGGAAACTTCATCATTTTTGCTTTCAGTCTTCTCTGGTGTTGTAAAGCGAAGTTTTTTTGCTGCTGTACTTTTATGATTATCCAAGCTACTCTTTGTATCTCCAATGGGTGCTGGAGTCACTGGAGAATGTTTGGTTCCACTCATGCGAGTGCGACAGAGGTCTGTCCATTCAGCTGTTGATAGTTTTAGAGTCTTCACAGGTTTAGCTGTTAGTATAGTTGAATCTTTGACAGCACGTTCTCCTTCATCAGTTATGACAATACCTGTAATTGGAAAATTTATATACTAATTGTCATGAGGAACATGCTATGTTCAAAGAGATTATTAACTTATATATTAAGAACGTCATAAATTACAGACCTTTGGATGAGAACGGGATATTTGGTATTGGTATTTTTGAAATTTTTTCCTTTCCTTTGTCTTTTGCTTTTGAATCTGGTGTATCTTCATTTGTTATTTCAACATTACTTCGTTGATGCTTGGTCGGTGTAAATGTTTCACTATTATTCGGGTCTGAATTTTCGGATTGAGCATTTCGCACAACAGATATTTGTGCCTCATCTTTTTTTGATACATCATCTGAAGTGTCAATAGTTTTGAGTGACCACTCCAACACGCTGCTTGAACCAAGGGAATTAGATAGACCAAGCTTGAAGAAAGTGGTTTTTTTTTCGGAGTTTTTCTTCAATTTCTTGGAAACCAAATACGTCGCCCTACACAATGTAATCAAAGTCAATGTATAAGTATCTTGTTCACAACAAATGTTGTACATAGATGTTATAAAATGGCCTATCTATATTTTAAATTTGTGTAACAGTAACTGTATTTTAAATTTGTGTAACAGTATTATTGAAAATGGTCATACACAATCTTTCATAGTTTTGATTTCTGTTGCGGTTCTACCAAACATTTTCTCGGTATACTTGTTGAACGACGTCAATGTCATTGATCCTGTTACATCGACTACCTCAAATTTGAAAGCAACCCTGTACAATGGAGAAATTATGAAGTCAGTGGTATTGTTTTAATAAATATTAAACTATATAGGATGCTTAATTAGATTGGAAATGTTACTCTGAAATAATATAAAAACATTTATCCCTATGCACAACACAACAATTGATGTATAAATAACACAAGGCACTCTCAAGCACAAGAGGGCCAACTAGAAGGTTTATTTAGTTGCTTGATTCTATTATATTAGGTATTTAACAAACCTTGGAGCCGAAACACAATTTTTGTTGTCGCAAAAGATACATGTAAACTGCCTTCCTTAAGGTACTCTGCATTTGTTCCCACATCGAGAGCAACCTGTATAGACAAATACATTGTCCAGCAAAGCATTTGGAACGATTGCCTGTATACAATGCCTTTCTTCCATTAACGAATTTGCAACCTGAGAGAACGTTAGAAATAATATAAAAATTGTATGTATTTTATTTATGTGGAAGTTTAACCAATTTATGTACCTTTTTTCTTTCAGTTCTTCAATCGTTTTCATGGATGGTTCTTGTGTAGAATCTCTTATTTGTAGAATTCTCGCTTGTCTATCTTGTAGCAGTTGTTTTTGTGCAACAACCCTGAAAATATACGAAAAAATTGGTTTTAAACTATAACATTTATTTTTTATTCATTAATATTTGTTGTTCATTGTAATTACCATTCTCGTAACATGTTTGCCCTATCTCCTTTAGGATTATGAATTATTCTTGTAGACATAGTAGTTAATAAAGCAAATGCTGAAAAAAAAAGCACATGTTATTTTTTCAATTTTGTACGATCCAGATAAACAGTTTTGTTGATTTTGTTTCTTCTGCTGTAAATATTTCACCTCTGCGGGGATTATGTTTCAGTGCTGTAAAGCAAACAACGGTAAATTTTTCGGCCCAAATGTTTAACGCATCACTTGCAGTTCCTGAGAGGTCATTCCATGCAAAGATGGTTAATGTCTGATTATGCATGTGGTAAAGAAAGAACTTATTAGCCATGTGTTTCAACAAATTACATAATTTCATTAGAAAGTAATTTGTTGGATTGTTTTCTTTACGTCTGGTCTGTAATAACAATTTCTCGGACATAGCTGTCGGTATTGTATTTGGAGCTGATTTGTCGTGCTGCTTCTTCTACGAATAATATCACACCCAGTACAACTGTACAATAATCATCATTTAAAACACATAATATTATAGGATTATCTGTAATTATAGTTGTATCATTTAATTAAATGTATGTAAAATTTCAAAAGGACAACATGAACGACAAAAATACGTTAAAAATATTGTTTTCCGAAGTAATTGTCTCACTTAGTCGTAGAAATGTGTTAATAATTAAGTGCTAATTGAAACAATAGATTAAGTATAGGAGAATACCATATCTTTCATCAGCAACCTCTTGTTTTTGGATTGAAGCTATTGACTGATATTGTGGAACCACATAACCAGTTTCGGTGCAGACAGGTTGGACAACCGTTCGATGATTGAAATGTAGTTGATAAGGCAGTTGCTCATGGGTAGTCCGATATTGATCATCAATTGACCTGACAGTTGCATTGGATATTTCGTATTCCCCACTGTATGCAATGACTTCATCATATGCTTTGATTTGATCAC